TCTCTTTGTCTCGCTCTCTCTGCCTTTTTTCAATCACAGCCCGTGCCCAAAACGCTGGCACCTGACATTTCATGGTCGAGTTCATAATATCATTGTCGCAGTCGAAAAGAGCACTATGCGCACGTCAAATGTAACGTCTAAAGTTAAGTGAGTTAGACCAGGTCTCCGGCGAGAAGCTGCAATCTGACAAAGAGGCTTCTGGCGCGTCGTTTAGCTTCGGGCTGCTGTTCCCTACAGTAAAACAGTACAACCATGCTGTTCTCTCCTGCGTGCAGGGCTTAGAGGCTTAGAGGCTTAGAAGTGTGATCTTGGGCCTAAGCAGAGAGTGAGTGGCCACACTGACACCATTCACAGGACCCCTTGCAGCGGGGCATGGTTCCGCCCGTGCGAAAGCTGACGCTGAATCGAGCGGCTTGGCTCGAACAGGTTGTGTCCAGAAATCATGCAGACAACATGAGAATGGCATTCCTGAGAGAAGCAGCGCCCAGACGAGAAGCCCCGCTTTCGGGTGACGCCCAGTTCGTTGCTGGGTTTATCTTTCGGTCAAGCATGCTTCCTAAATGAATTCCTTACCTTGCCCAGGAGAGCGGCCAGCCTAAAAAGACTGGTGGCAGGCCTGGGCCGATAGAGCGTCCACAATGGGTTCTTGCATTGCATGACCTGTCCTGGATCTGAGAAGATCCACGCTGCCCATTGCAACAAATGAAGGGTCCACGTTGGGGTCCGTGAAGTCCTTGCATTCGAGCATGCCCTGCGAATTAAGCAGCCAAAAAAAAGACAGTTAGCTCCAAAACTAAAACATCGTCGCATGGCCTCCTCGACACTGGTCTGGGTTGCGGGTGTGGTCCGTGGGGCACACATCCCATGTGGGCCGTGTGGTCATGCAGGGCGGGCAAGGGGGCCGCCCAGCTTGCTCCGTGCTCGCCCCAACCACAAATCCGCCTCAAACTGGGCTGCCCACTTTCCCTCCAACCACAGGTCTGCCCAAAGCTGGGCTGTCTTTGAAGCAGACTTGTGGCTGGAGCCAAAGCCGCACCAAGGCGCGGGTAACGGGCGTGGAGAGACCAAGTGGGTCAAGCGGGGCAAGCGGCAGAAACGGCTTATCAGCCCACACAGGGGCAAGTGAGGCAAGTGAGGCAATATCGTTTTCAACCAAAGGACCAGAGCAAGTGGGGCAAGCGGGGTAAGTGGCAGAAAACAGGTAGCGACCCACTAGATTAAATCAATGCAAGAGAGAACTTAAACGTCAGAACGACATGCAGCATCCACAATGGGGCTTCGGATGTTTAGATATGTGGCAGTAAAACTCTGAATCCACTCATCACCACGCCTGCTAAGCTGAATGCTCGCAGACTGCTTTCAGCCAGGAAATCTGCAATGTCTCGGCCCTCGACTGCTCCAAATCAGGACAGCTCAGAGCTTCAGTCACAGAGAGGTCAAGGCTCATCAGGTTCTACAGCTGCAGTGTTGTGAGCTTCTTGTGCTTTTCACGTAAGTTTGGGGTTTGGTGGTACTGTTCAAGTTGCTTGCCACATATGCAGGAAGATGCTCGATTCCCAGCAGCCTCGAAGCTGCAGATCAGGATCACGACAACTTGCGAGTGAGTGTAGGATGTGGCATGCCGGAAACCAGTAGCGATCACACTGCGCACATGAGCGTAGTTGTTTCGATGAATGCAGCATGCATTGCGAGAATCAGGTATACAGCCAAAAGTCCGAGCCTCAGGTAAACAGAAAGAGCAGCAGATATGTAAAGCATGAGTGGGGTCAGGAACGTGCGGATTCAATAGTCCTGGTGGCAAAAGGGGGCTTGGGCTGTTCGGGGGAAGGCAAGACATGAACGCTCTTCAAATCACGAATTCACACGGTCTGAGCCAGCAGTCACCAAAATTAGTCTGTCAGCATCAGGTTAAGGCACGGGTAGCAGCTCGTGCTTGTATGGCACTTTCCACTCGGAAAGTCCCAATCTGCATCACCCTAGCCGACCCGAAGCCCGTATCTGCAATGGACAGTACAGTGTAAGCTAGCAGGTGGCAAAAACCACGTCATGGCCATCAGACCTTGGTGCATTTTCGGTTCTCGTTCAAACCCCTTACAAGCCTTCTACATCCCCAAAGCCCCAGCTGCAGGCCAGGGCCCTGAAATGGGGCTGAAGCGGGGAGCTCGGCTCGAGCGTTTGGAGGCTTTAACGGGGTCAGCAATATGATTTTCAGCATGGGGTTTTGAAAGTATTAGGCCTGCAGGTTACGGAGACAATGGTTCTTCAGCATTCTTGGCCGGGGAACTCTCCCTGGACTTCTGGCTGAATGTTTTGGATCTGGCTGTTGATGATCTCACCGGGATTCCTTGCACCACGAGCGAGTCCCCACAGGGCGGCCTTTCCCAACTTCTAAAGCCGGATTCCTCGGGTTCGATAGCAAGGTCGCGAAAGCAAGGTCGAATGGAGGGAAGGTTTTGGTTCAAAAGGCAAATTAAACGGCCTAGGAGGTCAGGTCCGATCTGAAGCAGCCCAGGCATTACGGCCTCTGGCACATCAGGAGGACAATTGGCATCTTGCCTAGAGCGTGCTGGCCATGGTTTGAGCCACTGCGTTTTGGTGGATTGCTCATTCCATGGGTTGAGTCGGTCCTATCAGCAAGCCAAGCTTATTTGTTTCTATCAGAATGTTCTTCTGTGCAGAAGCCGAGCTTCTGCCAAGGTGTCTTATCTTGCAGATGCAAAGCCTGTTTTAGCCTGCTCAAGGGTCTGGGCTCTGGGGCTTACAGGGGAATTCGTTGAAAAGGTTATCCAGAGGGCAGGCATACCCAGCGACCAGCCCTCATGTGCAGACTGATTTTGGGCCAAAGCCTAGCACTCGAATGCTGGACATCTTCTGGAGCAGTTGAAGTTGAACTTACAACTGCCAGGTTCCCACCACAGAGCGTCCAGGAGAGTTCCAGGGCTTTTCGAGTTGCTCTTGCCCAAGGCTAGACAAAAAAGTGAGGAGGTGAGATTGCGGATGATTGCGGCCAAGTGATAGCCATGAGCCAGAGCGAAGGGCTGCTGGGGTTTAGGTTTAGGTTTTAGGGCTTGACCAAGTGCAAGCTCACCATGGCTCAGCCGAAGTACTCAGAGGTGTCTTGGTGTCTTGAAGCCTCTGTTTAACTCTGTTTCGTCCAACTCGACAGCCTCAGTGCCGGATGCCAAGCACCGGCGTGGCGTCGGAATCAAGTCCCCCACGTTTCCTGGGAAGCTCGTTTCCTGGGAAGCTGGCGTGGCTTCTGGTTGAAAATGTAGGTTTACGTCACGCAGAACACACCGCGCTGGACTTTTGAAGTTTCCGCGTTTGGTGATGATGCGAGGATATTTTTGTTTAGGCTTGATTGGCTGATCTCTGCTTCGGTAGTGGGACGAGCTGCCGTGTTGCGTTCAATCAGCTAGCTCTTGCAAGACTCAACAATGCTTCAACGGTCCCCCACATGGAACTTTATTGGAAGCACGGCTTGACGTCACTCACTCGAAACGCCTCGCAACCCACTATCCTGACACCCTGTCAGGCATTGATAGACCAAGCTGCTGTGATTTGCTGCCAGCAAGTGCAGGGCCACACCCTTCTGCGACTCGGCATGAAGGAAGCTCACAGCACAGCTTGTGAGAACTGTCGAAGTCTATTTTTTCAGCGCAGACCTGTCTTTCACCGTGGGTGATCCCACGGACGCGCATCGGCTGCGGGAAAGCCTTGCTCGCTTGAGATGCGCTCTTCCACAGGCCCGGCACACGACGCCTGCACGTACCAAAGCGGCAAAGCGGATGCGTACTCCTCGTTGTTTGGAGGACTCACAGTGCTCAAGAATTGCCGAAGTGCGGAGTCGACTGCTGTAGCCTCAGGCATCTGCTGGCGGCTCAGAAAGTGCCGACCGAGGGCTTACGTGTGTTGCAGCAGTGCAAACCCGAGATCCGGCTCTGAAAGCCTGACGCAGCTTTAAAAAAAGGACATGTGGATGCTATGTTGCACAACATGCACATGTTGTGCCATGTGCTTCCAGCATCTGAGTGTACTTGATTTCATGGGCCCTTCAGACTTCACGGTTCGTGCGCGGCAACCTTATTGTTAGGATGCGCAGTCGCAACCAAAGTAACGACTTTTCAGCCTGAGAAGCTGCTGGGATCTCTAGTTTGCGTGAAGCACTTCGTTGTGTAGTGTCGTGTGTGTGTGCTTTGTTTTGCTTGGTTTGCATCTGGTTTGCAATGGGCTGCCGGCATATACTGCGGGATTTTGGGGTAGTTATACACATCCGGTCGGCGCGTATGTGTCATATGCTTGGAATGCTTAGAACATCTTAGGTGTAGTGTTGATGAACACATCTCGTTTTGAACTTGCTTGTTTCCTCTTGCTCTGAGGCGGTCTAGTTAAGATCTGCTAGTTGCGGGCTTTAGAAGGCAAGTCATCGTGTCTGACCGATAAGAGGCTGAGAAACCCAATTCTTCCATACCAGCCTCCTTCAGATTCAACAAATCGTACGTAAAGAGCGTCAAACACAAAAGGGCACACAGAATGCCAGGTTAATTTCGTTCTGAGTGGATTGCTTGCGGCTGCAGGGGTTGTTTTGAAGAATGTTTTGCTTGGCGTTGCATGTTGCCGGACTTTGTGTTTGCATGTGCATGGCATTTGTTTGCGTGTTGCTCTGCTCTGCTCTTCACCGCCGACCGCTCACTGTGTTACACGCCCCTCTGCTCTTCACTTGCAAAAGATAGGTAGGTGTGGTGCCCATGCCCTCCGCTGACATGTAGCATGAAGGAGAGGTGACTAGTATAGCCGGCAAATAGCACGACAGAACCAAACACTGATGCAACCTTGGGGGCCCAAGACCGATTTCCAGGAGGAAAACAAAATGCGAGTTCAGATGGACGCTGAATTGGCTGCCCCCTCTGCCTTTCCGTATCCCCTTACTGTGCTGGGCCCCAAAACGTCGATGATTGAAAATAGGAAAAGGTTCGATGGCTCCTCGACACCTGTGTCAGGAATTCGTCCGACTGCTGGGCGGGGTCGTGCTGGTCCCTGGGCAAGAAGTTGAGGTCATTGGACGATCTTGGCAGTGGAGAGTTGGGGTCACAGGTAACGCAGTGCGCCTGTCGAAGTTGAGGTTGTACAGGTGTAGGGAGGATGGAAGCTGTGGGAGGGGGTTGGGATCTTACTTCAATTTTATGGCGGGGTGCCCTGGTTAGATTGTCTGAAGCACTTTTGCCGCTGACTGCTCGCAACGGAAGCCTTGTAACAATATCACCTGAAGCTGGTTACTGTGGTCGGCGCTTTAGTGATGTTGCGTGGCAGGAGACTAAAAGCCGTGCTTAGTCGAACATTCCCCAGAAGTACCAGTACAGGAACAATAGCAAGGGCAACCATCTCAAAGCCCGAGATGCATCACAGTGCGAGGTCATGCAATTGCTGCAGGAGCAGGCTTGAGAGGGTCCTCGCTTTGGGGGTTTTTTGAGATCCTGGACTAGAGTTTGTCAAGTCCTGCTCAATAAGTAGAGTTGCGCTGGGGCAGATCATTTCGGCACAGGCAGTCCCGGCACTCTGGCAATCCTGCAAAGCAGGTTCCAAGCAAAACCATGTCAGGAAGTTCCCCCAGCAGACTAAGTCGGCGCGGGCGTACCAAAACGCAAAGCACTGCGGGCAAGACAGTCTTGACAAGTCCTGAAACCTCAAAAGGGATTGACTTATGTATCGCTCGGTTTGCAGCATTGCAAAGTGCAGGGATTGTGTTGGACAGTGTTGTTTCGCAGTTTTCGCGTTCAGTCTGCTAGATCCTGCCCTGTGGACAAACCATTAGAAAGCATAGGGAATGGTTCTTGGCTTAGCTTGTCATGTTCAGGGTTTTTACGTTCGGGTTTGAGGAAATCGATCGTGTGACCTCTCCGTGCACACAAGCTCGGGCTTCTTTTGGACGTTCTCCTTGTTTCGTGCCCTGCGATGCTCTCGTTGTGGCGCAGCCTGCACTTTTGACGTACCAACACCCTCAACCGTCCTCAACCCACAAAAACTTTAACCGCAGCGTTCTAAGCTCCAAGTCCCTCGTAAATCAAAACTTTCAGCTTTGCAGCTAGTCTGGCAAGGTGGCGGCCTTGGAGGTTCCCGTGCTCTTTTTTTTTTTTTTTTTTGGGGGGGGGGGGGGGGGGGGGGCAGGTTTCGGGATAAGAGGGGTAGGGAAGGCCAGCTCCGAGCCCTGGAGGGGGATGAATCGTTTGAAGACTCAGGGCAATCGGGTTTCTGTGGATGGAAGTCTTCAAGTCGATCTTTGACCTTGCTTGGTTTCCTTCCGTGTGCTTGTCAGTTTTCCAGAGCCCCTTCTCATCATACACAGCATACACGCATTGACTAGCGAGGCTGAGGTGACGAGGAGCAAACGACACAAGAAACCCAACCGAAACACACAAGCGACACTTCCGACCCTTTGTCAAGTGGCCGCCACGGGCCGCGAAGAGCCCACAGTTGCACTGCTACTTAGGACGACACGTGTTACCAAACACAGATCCGCTTGTGACCTCCAAACCCATTCCAAACCCTAACCTGCTACAAACACATCCCAATGTCCCTCCATTGAGTTCCCCAAGGCCTACGTCCATGTAACGACCCCAGAGGTCTTCGGCTACGGCCAAGCCCCAAAATGTCCCAAAGTGTGAGGAGGGGAGGCAGCCAGCTGCCGCTGCAGGCCAGTCCAAGCCAAGCGTGGGGCGAGAGCGGAGAGGGGTGGCAGTGTTGTCGTACGTGTTTCTTTTGCTGAAGGCTTGACGAAGGCTTCATCGATATTGGGCATGGGTTTCGAGCAGGAAGTCTTCTCAGCAACTTCAAGAGTGCGAAATTGGGCTGTTATTACATGACTTCCAGGCTGTCGGCATTCGCCTAGTTGTAGGTTGTAATGCGTGGCTGCTTGGCAGGCAAACTGCACATGGCCCAAAAAAGTGGAAACATGTTCAGGAAGAGTGGTGGCAAGGGGAAAGGCACAAATCCCTGAGGACCATGCGGATGCCTGGGTGAGATAAGAACTTTCGGATGATGTGCCGTTTCTGAGCTTTCTCATGTCATGGTTTTGAGTACTTTGGAATGCTTAGTTTCAGCATCCTTCAGGTGTATCTCGATGTATCTTGGTAGTTCGATTGATAAAATGTTTTGGAACATGGCTTTACCCAAGCACTCCTTGCTCACAGGGCAATGTAGGAACAATTTAATGTTGTCATGGATGCTCCGTCGGGAGGTGAGTCCGCCTAAGGCTCCAGAGGTGTCTGAACACCCGGACTCGGCAAACGGAGTTTAAAACCCCCCACTGCACCCTGATGGGCTTGCTTCGGCTCAGCCCATGGGGGGTTTTACACTCCCCACCCCAATCCCCCACCCCAATTCATGTGCAACACTCACACGGTGCTTTGGCAGCGTCGTCACCTGTAAGTACCCGATCAGGTTATCGCAAGAAACCCACCCTATGGACCGTGGAGTTTTTTCAGCCACTGTTTACACTGCTTTGGTCCTCCTGTGGCAAGACACCACTGTGGCGGCAGGTGCTGTCAACTGGAGCTGCCTGCATCCTGCCTGGGCGCCAGTGCAATTGCTGCCCTGGGGCTTGACATGTACAGCATTGCAGGGTAGCACTTGAAACAGGCCCTTAAGGTGGACACCCGCAAAGAGTACCAAACAAAGGACTGTCAATGTTGACGTTGGCTTTGCTTTGAGATTCGCGGGGTCGGGGGTTGAGGCATGCCAAAACAGCCATTTGTAGAGGGTTTGGTTTTTAAAACTTTGAAAGGGCATACCCTTGCTTTTCAATTCGGTTACTGGGATTCTGTCGAGAAGGCTCCGCCCTCAGGAGTGACTGGCCGGCTTACAGCTCAAGTCCGCTCTCACAAACAAAAAGCTTGGTCTTGACCGGGGGGCCTCATTTTTGCAAGGGCTGGTCTCTCGTAGTAGGAGCTAGGAATGATGCAGCTGCCCTGTCACTTTTTCTCGGGATGTGAGTATTTTGACTGACGAGGGCTTGTTCGAATTTTGTGTGTGTGTGTGTGTGTGCCGGCTGTGTGTGTGTGTGTGTGTGTCTGTCGGCAGTGTGTGTGTGTGTGTGTGTGTGTGTGTGTCTGTGTCTGTGTCTGTGTCTGTGTCTGTGTCTGTGTCTGTGTCTGTGTCTGTGTCTGTGTGTGTGTGTGTGTGTGTGTGTGTCGGCAGTGTGTGTGTGTGTGTGTGTGTGTCGGCAGTCAGTGTGTGTGTGTGTGTGTGGGTGTGTCGGTGTGTGTGTGTGTGTGTCGGCTGTGTGTGTGTGTGTGTGTGTGTGTGTGTGTGCTGTGTGTGTGTGTGTGTGTGTCGTGTGTGTGTGTGTGTGTGTGTGTGTGTGTGTGTCGTGTGTGTGTGTGTGTGTGTGTGTGTGTGTGTGCGTGTGTGTGTGTGTGGGCAGTGTGTGTGTGTGTGTGTGTGTGTCGGCACTCTGTGTGTGTGTGTGTGTGTGTGTGTGTGTGTGTCGGCACTGTGTGTGTGTGTGTGTATGTGTGTCGGCACTGTGTGTGTGTGTGTGTGCGCGCGCGCGTGTGTGTGTGCGTGCGGGCGTGCGGGCGTGGGTGGGTGGGTGGGTGCGTGGGTCTGTGTGTGTGTGTGTTTTGTTTTTAGGTGGGGGAGATAATATAAAGGGCAAATCATGATTGTTAGGGCTTAGTAAATAGGAGCTTATGAGTACTTCTTTGGCCGTTTCCCGCTTAGGAAGAAGCTATGCTGAAAGGTGGCCTGAGAAGCTTCAAGTTTAAATGAACCCTACGCTTGATTCTGTACGAAGAGGGTTGAGTGGTTGATTTGAAGCACGCCTCGCTGGGCCTCAAGGTGCGCGGTTGGAGGGTAGTTCTTGCCAGGCGGAGGTCATCGTTGCAGAAGCTCTTCAGGAAAAGTCGCCAGCTTCCAAAGTTTTAATGGGGATCACACCTTTGTTGTTTTCCTCAAGCGCCTGCTTCTGATGGTTCTTGCCAGCAAATGCCGGTTCCTCGCATTCATCCTGCCAGTGGCCGCAGCCCTCGGTCTGGTGCAAGTGTTTGTCCTGCGATTCGTCGAGATTTCCTGGTATGCTGTGTGGCAGAAGAGGACAGCCGAGAATGCAGAAATCGGGACACCTTTGCCCCAGCCTGCGACTATGACTACCACCGAGAACAACGCAGAGCTGCCAGATCACTGTTGGTAAAGTGTATGTTTTTTTTCAAAACCATCTTAATTAAGTTCAAGCATTGACTGTGATGCGGCCTGAAGCGCTGACCCCGAAGAATTTGGCTTGATGAAGTAGCTAAGTAGCGCGAACAGAACCCGCCAGCAAAATCTGAATTAGCACATTACGGGCATCTGGGATTGAATGGTTTGTAATGTACCGGAGACGTATCAAATTATCAAAGGTATTTGGCAAAGGATCGACAGTAGAGCCAAGCCTTGGCTTTTCGAGGTTTGAGATCCAGTCGAAGTCCCAACGACCTCTAAAAGCAAATCTTGAGGCTGTCGACTTCACTACCAAGCAAGAGGGGCCCAGCATCACGGCCACCGAAGACAAAGCCGAAGACTGCGGCCCCAAGCAAGAATCCAGCAGCCACCCTGAAGGCTGTGAAGCCCCGTGAAGCCCAGTGAAGCCCTGCGCCCCCAACTCGAAGCCATCACGTTCAGGGCTTGGGTGGGGGGTTGATCTTTGGGGGGAGTTGGGGTTGATGGATGTTGTTTAGTGTGTTTGGAACACTCAGACCCCGGAGCAAGGCCTACTACGGAGACCGCTTCCTGTCACAGGGGCGGTGGCAATATGTGGCCTCTCAATCTTGGTTAGCTTCAAACTTTGTTGGGGCTGGGGAGTACGGGGAGTAGGTGAATTATTGGCCCAGACTAAGTTTTTTTATTAGATGAGCACAGCCTTAAGGAGCTTCATCCATAGTTCTTAAACCCGCACCGGCGATTTTTCTGACTTAGTCTTGAAAGCCTTGCGTGCCGAGGCCTACAACCGCACTCGGTCGCCGGAGAAGACGTGCCAAGAGTTTGAGCGGTCTGGAGAAGATCTTCCAAGCGGTCGCGGCTACTGGCCGAACGTTGCCGAGCCGAGCAAAGGTCGGCTCGTGGTTCAGCATTTCTGGGCTTTAGAGCTAGGTCTCGAGCGGGCTCAAGAACTGAAAATTTTCATATAATCTCAAGGTTTTCGGTAAGACCTGCAGGCTTCCAACACTACGAGAGGGCGTAGTTGAATGCTCACAGACCTACTTAGTTTCGTCATCCGAAGCTTTTGAACTTAGGCAACCTAGGGAAGGTTGTGCCACGGACGCTGTGAAAGGGCGAACCCATTGCTTGTACACAGTTGCGGTACCTGGATTTCTGTTCCAGACTGCGAATCGTGTGCCAGAGAAGAGGATGACCTCCCCACAGCTTCAGTCTCTCAGGACCCAAACTCCGCATAGTGACATAGTGCCCCCACCTCCCACCTGGACTCTCGCAGATGAAACTGAGATTTGCAGCCAAAAGCCCGCTCCCCTGGAGGTGAGTATTTGTATGCCACTGTGTGGGCACAGGAGGGGATATGGAAGCATCAGCATCCGAAAGACTGTCGCCAAGTTGCTTTAGTCGTTATGCCTTGGGGAAAGGATTGAGAGAGTGGGATTGACGATCTGACGAGTCTGACTTTTTTTGGTTTTGAGCTTGGAATCGTATGCTTCAGCTTCTGTTCAACTCTGAAACATCATCCTGTCCCGTTCTGTGCGAGCACGTAAGGCAAGAAGGCGCGATTTGCTCTTGCTACCTGGCATGCGGGTTTGAAGGAGTCTAATAGAGCCTAATCGTATTCTATGAGAAGCGCCCAGAAAACCGGGAAAGCGAGTTCATTTTCGCATTTTTGTCTTGGTGGCCCTCACCTTGCTTGCCAGCACCCAAAGTACAGTCGGAGGCTTGGTTGGTTGTTGGTTGGTTGGTTGGGTGTTGGTTGGTAGGTTGGTTGGTTGAGTGTTGGTTGTTTGGTTGGTAGGTTGGTTGTTGGTTGGTTGGTTGGGTGTTGGTTGGTAGGTTGGTTGGTTGGGTGTTGGTTGGTTGGTTGGTAGGTTGGTTGGTAGGTTGGTTGGTTGGGTGTTGGTTGGTTGGTAGGTTGGTTGGCAGGGTGTTGGTTGGGTGTTGGTTGGTAGGTTGGTTGGTTGGGTGTTGGTTGGGTGTTGGTTGGGTGTTGGTTGGGTGTTGGTTGGGTGTTGGTTGGGGTGGTTGGGTGGTTGGGTGGTTGGGTTGTTGGGTTTGGGTGTTGGTTGGGTGTTGGTTGGCTGGTTGGTTGATTGGTTGTTGGTTGGTTGTTGGTCCGGGATTGGTTGGTTGTTGGCGTTGGTGGTTGGCGCTGGTTGTTGGCGTTGGTTGTTGGTTGGTTGTTGGCGTTGGTTGGTTGGCGTTGGTTGGCGTTGGTTGTTGATTGGCTGTTGGTTTGTTGTTGGTTGATTGTGGTTGGTTGCTGGTTGGTTGTTCGTCGTTTGCTGTTTGTTTAGTTTTGTTTCTAACTATTGTTGTTTTTGTTGTTTGTTTGCTTGCTTGTGTTCTTCTTTTGCGCGGTGGTTCATCCTTTTTTCTTGTGGGTGGGGGGGGGGGGGGGTATTTTGATTTTGCTTTTGGCCATTGGCATTGTGGTCCGGTTGTGTATTTGTTGATTTCTTGTTTTCGTCGTTTTGTAGCTTTCTTGATTTGTTTGATTTGGCGATATTTTGTTCGGCTTGTTTGTTGTTGGCTTTTGTGTTGGTTTACGCATTTCTGTATAGCTTGCTTGCTTGCTTCTTGCTGTTGTGATGGGTCGTAAGGGTGGTTGCTGCTGGGTCTGGTTCCAAGAGGTGCCCTCATGGATTGAATTCAGATTATTTGATGACGCTGGTGTCCTATCAGTGAGAATAAACTTTCCTGTCCAACATTTGGAGAGTACGAATACGAGCTACGATGCGTGGGCGTATCACCGGTTGACTCTGTAAATTCGATGTGAGGGGCCCGAGGTTGCTTGTTTGACCCTTTGATATCGAGTCGCCGGGTTCGGCACTTCTGAATGCAGTTCAGCCTTTCGGTCCCCTCACCAACATGCAGGCTGTGTTGGGCTAAAAACCGATGAAGAGCGACCCAGGCCGAGCCGCACTGGTCCGGCTTTGGCTCCTTGGTTTCTGTCGCCGCACATCACCTGAGCATGGCGATGAAGGATCCCGGTGTGCTTAGTGAAGCTTAGTGAGCGCCTGGTGACTGCATCAGAGTTCGGGGCCCTCGCACTTCAGTCCAGTTGCCAGTCCATAAACTGATTTCCCGATCCAAATGTACACATTTTACCATCACACTGAGCACCTTCTTGGCTTCTTCCTCAGCCATAGCCGAATATATAGCGGCCCCAAAGCACCTGGCTCCCGTTACTGAACGTGTTCGAATGTTTATGTTGGTTGCGTTAAGTCCCGAAATCTTGCTGCTGCCTTCATTAAACAACAGAGCTACAGTGCAACGAAACGGTCGCGAGAAGAAGCTGTGTGTGCGTGTGGGCATTGCATGAACGCAAGATCTTTCAAAAAGGGAAACACTGTAGGTTGCAAAAGAAACGGT